TTGCAGGAAGACAGCGGGCCTTGCGGCAGAGTGCTGGATTGTTTGACTGTGCCAATCGATGGTCAGCCATGGCAATGGCACATTTTGCGGCCAGCTGCTTTGCTGGACAGGCTGTGCAGCATTAACAAGCAGTTCGGCGACCTCGTGGCTGCCACTGACAATGTGGTGATGTACGCGGACGAGATTAAGCCAGGTAATGTCTTGAGGCCTGACAAGGGCCGCGAGCAGCTGTGCTTCTACTGGACGCTGAAAGAGTTGCCGAGTTGGTTTGTCAGCAGGGACCAAGGTCAGGGATGTCTATAAAAACCCTCTATCGGATCACTGGGTGGGGTGTTTCATCAAACTCCCTCAGGTTGGTTCTTCTTCGGGTGCTTCCCGACGAGCATGATCGGAAATGTTGCTGGCGGCTACTCATTTCTTTTCAGCCTCATGGTAGAATGCTTCTTCGACCTGCAGCAGGACAAGCTCAACTTTGGAACAGGCATCCCCCTGAGCAAGACTTCCGGAAGTTTTGTCTTCAAACCCAAGTTCGGCTTTTTCCTTGCCGACGCCAAAGCTTTAAAACAGCTGTGGAACCTGAGTGGTGAGAATGGAACGAAGCCGTGTTTTTGTTGTGCTAATGTGGTAGGCAGGATTGAGGCCGAGGGCCTTGTCAACCATGAGTATTTGGTGCACGTGAGCAGCTGTGAGCAAGACCGCTTCCAGCTGCACACGCCGGAAACTGGTGCAACCATGGTGCGAGACCTGGCCGCTTTGGCAGGCCGTCCGGCCGAGCAAAAAAAGTTGGGTCAGGTTTGTGGTCTGCAGTACCACGAGAACGGGGCATTGTGGCATCCTCGCTTGCAACTGAACCACATCTCGCAAACCATGTACGATTGGATGCATGTGCTCGTGACGAGCTCTGCTGTAGGTCAGTACCAGGTGAACGAGTTTGCGAAGGAGCTCAAGCAGAGTTGGCATGTCAGCCTCGAGTATCTAGACCACTTCGCACAGACGTTCCAGCTGCCGGCATGTTACACCGCCCTGCCGAAGAAGTTCTTCCGCGACCGGGTATGCATGGAGGCCAACTCCTGCATCAGGTGCTTTGGCTCCGAGATGTTGGTTGCGGTGAGGATTCTTGTGGCCCTGGTCCAGACTGTGCTGGACCCGGCCGGTGTTCTTCCGGAGCACTGCCGCTGCATGAAGCTGCTGGGAGACATTTTGGACATCTTGTCGTCCTCGGTAGCCAGCCCTGCACGCAGGGCCGTGGCTCTGGAAGAGGCCGTGTCGGCACACAGGCCGCTCTTTGCCGAGCTCTACCCCGACTGCCGGAAGCCCAAGTTCCACTGGCTGCACCACGTGCCGGCTCAAGTGCGGAAGTTCGACGCATCTCGCCCGAACTTCATTATATATATATATATATATAT